ACGCACCCACACACACACGCCACGCCGCACACCGCACACGCACAGCACGCAACCAACCACCACAGACGCCACGCACATAACGCACACACACGCACGCACGCATGCCACACATATTATCAACCACGGAAAACCATGATATATGGGCGTAAAGGATGACGATACTCCATACGAGGCGTTCGCGCATGAGTAGGCGTAAAAAGTCCATGTTTAACAAGCTTTAGCTCAAATGCTCATTAATATGTTAGGATGCTTCATTTAATAGATGCTACGCAGCATTCACTTCTTTTGATGTTTAGTCTAGCCATCACATATGCTCTCGCCTGCACGCATTACACATTGCAAATTAGATGTGCCGTTCCATTATTATTTCAAATGAATTTGTGCAGCAATATAGAAATTAACCGCGCAAACGGTACATTGGATCAAGCGGTATGCCTCGTCGGCGCGTGAATTTCACGACGAGCACTGCGACGTAAGAGATCATTGAAATCCTTTGCAATCCATATGCTCTCTTATGATGGCCTTTTCCATAAACAGCTTTCGCTTGCGTGATCAATGGAACTCATAACTTACACTCGCGACTAATTACTTAATCCTCAAAAATGACAAACGGCGAGCGTCAACACACCGTTTATTCAGTGCTGTGTGTCTTGGCTTAATCGACAGAATCCTCATCTGCCTACCATACATTAACTGCATACACTTCAATCTCAAACATGAGCTATTATATATATATGCTCATGTCATAAAGTCCTGGGACACACCATTGCGAATTTTATTCGCACGTCCGCGGCGATCTATCCGCAGCAAATCGCCGGCCGAAAATATTCGCACCCGCTGGGCGATAATGAGCGGCACACACCATGCGATTTTTCGCCACGTGCCGCAGCGTACACACAACACGCGGCCTAATATCGGCTTCTTGGAAGGGACGGTACCAGTGTATATTCGCAGCGTTCACGGCAGCGAAAAAGTATCAAATATGTTGATCGCTTGCGAATTTCGTGCGGATGAAATTCGCAGCAAAAAATTCGCCCGCCGCTTGAGCGTACACACATTGCGAATTTGCGCTGCGATTTCAACAATCGCTGCGGAACTGCGGAATAAATACTTAGCATGACGTGTGTCCCCCGCTTAAGGCTATCTTGTTTGTTACACAATAACATGCACATCGTTACATCCATTTTTTTTAGAAAACGTGAACCGCAATGACACATGATTATTATTCAACAACTTTTATTACTCACTTGCGTTCATCTCAATGGTATAACATCAGTCCACTATATGCCATCAAACTACACAGCCACTTGGACTTCCTGCTATACGTATCTACAATGCCCGACAATGCATAGATGATTCTACTAATCATTATCTAGACAATCACACTCTAAACCTACGTCACCTCTAGCTTCCCACCTTGAAATCCTCCAAAAACCTACTTGCAGCTCGCCATAAAAACCCACTCACCTCCGGTTGTGTGGGGTAGTACCCAGCGCCCTCATCACGTACGGAATTTGCTCCACTTTCACGTTACTGGCTACTCTGTGAACGTCCATCGGTCCTCAGGCCTGATATAGCACGAGACCCACAGACAATGAAGAGTGCACCGGTCCCTTTATACATCGCACGCACCAATCCTGGTGATTTAGCAGTAATTTTCACACAGAAAATTAATTTTTACATATGAACTCACCCTAAATTTTATTACAATGCACCGAAAGCCACATCTATATCTGTTTTTGCTACATGACCTGTCGAGTCCCAACACCGAGTAATAACTCGCATCAATACTTTTCAGGATAATTTAATCATTGAAAGGCATCCCGTAATTGCATCAAAAGCATGAAATGTTCGATTCTAGTTAACGATGCATTACAAGCAAGACGCGTCTCTTGGCGCACCCCAAAAAAATAATTTATAATTAAAATTTATAATAAGTATATTTTATAATTAGAATTTTAAAAAATGATCGATAATAATTTAAATTTAGATCGTTTTGAGAGGACATTTATGCTGAGTAAGACGAGTATGACTTCGCCTGCACAACGTACAAACCCACTTATATCCATTACCTCTTAGTCTGGCCATAGTAGAAGAAATTCTCCATCTCTCGGAATAGGTGCCGGACTGGCCACCTTCCAGCAGGTCGTAGAATGGTACGATCCCCAGACCGCCTAGATGGCGAGTGCCTCTAACACACTGCTCGCAAGTAATAATCACATCGTATTATTATTCCCTCGCGTCGCTGCGCAATTAAAAGGCGTGATAGGAGTCCTAATCCTATCCTATCCTATCCTAGGAGTCCTATCCTAGCAGTCCTATCCTATCCTATCCTATCCTAGGAGTCCTATCCTATCCTATCCTAGGAGTCCTATCCTATCCTATCCTAGGACTAAGGAGTCCTATCCTATCCTATCCTATCCTAGGACTAAAGGAGTCCTATCCTATCCTATCCTAGGAGTCCTATCCTATCCTATCCTAGGAGTCCTATCCTAAGACCGACAGTATAAATTACACAACTAATTAACTAAGCACGAGGGAGCACGTGATGTGCACAGAACTACTGTTAACACGAGATCCAAGCATGACTTCACTGTTGAGTAATCAGCAGCTAAAATGGACGAAACCAAGCAGTTTGCCTGCAATCCTTGATAACGGTTGGTGGGGCTTTAGCACAAAAGTTCTTGTCTCGTATGCTATCGCTGGCATTTTTTGGCACGCTAACATGCCAGATCAAGACAAAAACAGACAACCATTAACGAAATATGTCATCGGGGCTTTCGTCAGGTTTCATCGTCCAGGCATATCAACAATGAAACACACTGCATGATGCAGCCTGCTCCCTGGTCTTCAACGCAGTTAGTACAAACCCTGCCACCACAAAGAACTATTAAACTATTTAAAAAATTACAGCCGAGATACTATTAAACTTACTCAAAGTTCATCTCCCACATGAAGACAGTGGCATCGGTGGCGCCACCTGTGAACATGGATTTACCATCGTGGCTGCAGCATATATCTACCACCTGAGAATTAAACATTTAGAAGGCAATGATTGTACGCATACAAATCTATTGCAACGATTATTAAACTAAAGATTTCGTTCGGAAAGGCATTAGAAAAATGATATAAATCACTCATGTTATTGATTTAATTACATTTAAATTTAGTTACTAGTTTTGCTTGCTGCATTTCCACGATATTGCCTAGGGTATTCACAAACGCACACACGCACGCATACACGCACACACACATATATATATATATATATATATATAGTACATATGTCATACAACAACCAAAAGTATTTGCTAGACTAGCTTTGTTCCATCACTTTAAGTAGGTTTGTTTTTAATAGGTTTGATTATTTTATTATAATTATTTGTTTTATCGAGTTATAATAAATTGCTACAACATACAACAAAAAGCATGAAAGTTTTTGAGAAAAGCAGAGGTAACTGTTCATACATTACTGGTACATTTAGAACATATTCTTCAGCTTTATAGGATTAATTATTGCATCACAATTAAATCTACCCACTCCAAGATTGTTGTAACAGTAATACCTTAATTATATACTCGCGTAATAACCACATATTTGGCCTCAGATTTCAACCCTGTAATTGCTCTGCGGATTATAAGTGCGCCATACCGTGAGGGGAAATATACTAGGCGCAATACTTGGTTACCCGATTCAAATTGAGGTGCGGCTAATAGGCGCCCGCGGTTATTACGCGATCATATACGGTAGTTGTAGTCTCCAACAGCCACACGCACAGCGTGTAGGTTTGTATATTGACACCACGTAACTCACATCGCCCGGGTGTCCAATGACTGCCAGCGAGTTATGAGGGTTGCCATCCAGCGGCAGCTTCAGCAATCCGACCTTGTCTGCAGTTCTGTGAGCGGCGTAGAACTTCTTTTTCTGCCGAGAATTTCCTTGTCGATGAATAATGCGAAGGCTGAAAAAAAAGGAGTATTTTTGTCGACTGCTCTGCGAAAACAACATCTTAAGCAATAGATGGGCGCTGTTAAGCAGGTTACAAAACGCGCACGCGTCCAGCAACTGCTATTAACATACCGATGACATGCTTGCGATTTCTCAGGCGTTGTGACGGTAACAACTGGCATCGAGATGGGATTACTAAGGTGCCAGCATTAATTCCCAATGTTGCTATCAAAACGCGTAAACCCGTATAACGAAAACTTCCAATAACAGTTTGTGCTGAATTGGTATTCACAGCTTACACGTCCAAGTACGTTTTAGCATTGGGGTGTGAGTTATGGAAGCGTTGAAATTATTGAAGTGTGGCAACACTTCATAAATAAACGCTTGTAAATGCTACCATTACCCGTTTTATTGCAAAACTGTCTCGTTTAATTCATTTTCGATAGCACACCAAGATTAACAGTATCTGATCTGTGTTTTTATGCACTCAAGTCTCATTACCAAAAGATCTCATACATTCGCATGATTTTGTTATAGCAGCCCTGCGACAGCAAACAAAAAACTTGCACGGTTTTTGCTAGTTTTAGTTAAATAGCCATATGCTGCAATACTATCAAACCAGAACCGGTGTGAATGGTTACAGCCCTATAGACCGAAGGTCCGATAGACCGAAGGTCCGATAGACCAAAGGTTATGTGTTCAAGGTGTAAAGATGCATTTTCGAATGCGCAGTGGCAACGCATCCGGAACCGGTCGCCTAGCCTCCAGGCTACGCATCCGGACATCCACTCACACAGTGATCTCGCGACTTGCGTACACGCATGATTGCGCAACGGGACAATCTCTCTCTCTCACACACTCACACCTCTCTCTCTCTCACACACACACACGCACACACACACACGCACACGCACACGCACACGCACACGCACACGCACACGACAGCACACTCTCTCTCTCTCGGCTCTCTCTTCTCCTCACCAGCGACTGCACGCACGCACTAGCACGAGCACGCACGCACCGCACACACACAACACACACACACGCATCAGGCAGAGGCATCCCGTTGCGCAACGCATGCCGTGTTGTACGTGTCGCAAGAGTACTGTGTTAATTACCATGCAATATTCGGTCCCATCGGACCTTCAGCTCTATAAGGCCATGACCCCGGTGTGAATTAATACGCACTAGCCTTATGCAGCACATGTTCAGACGTGTTTAGACTACCATTGGCAAGGGAGTTCCATAGGCTTATGGACTAAGCACTGTCTTTCTGCACATTCTTGGTCGTTGTGTTGTATAGTTTCATCTCTGAACTGTGAGCGGTAAAGGAGAGCCTACGAGTATGACAAGCTGGCATATACGTCGCGTCCAGCATGCGAAAATACTGATCGTCTGTATCGTAGCATTGATCGTATGAAACACATATTCCTACTGAATTCTACTTATTTTCACATGGAAATCCACAAGTAGAATGGAGTAAACTTGTATGGTAAAGCATTAATCGTACACAAATGATGTTGTGTAACAAAGCAATAACTGAAGTGTGTTCTAATCATCCGCATACCAAGAAGCCTGCATTCAGATTTTATATAATAAAGCATAATCACACTCATAAGTCACACGGACACAAATGTGACATACCGCGATGAGTACGAGCACGTTTCAGCTTGCACGAAGGGATTTCAGGCTTTCTAGGACCTGGTTGTTTGCCGGGAGAATTGAAGTCTTCGGCTGGTGAGTGACGGGTACACGCCATAACATCGCTTGGCACAGCGGTTTGCTGCCAACCTCTCCGCTCTGCAAGTGTAAGATCATTTCTCGTGCGTCTCCTCCAAGTCGTATTCAACCTGCAGACACTCCAACAAAACGCCTCCATGTACGTTATCCATTTGTCGGCGATCTTACTGGCATGCTCTTGGGATCGACCATTATCCGACTAGCTGGACACCTTAGGCCAGCCTAATATCTGTCAAATATGAAGAATACATTATGGGTTGAACACGGTTATTGCGTGTGCCAACAACTGCCTTTTATTGTTCCCACCCACGATACTGACCGCTGTCTCTGCTGTTAAAAACATCATCGCCAGTGGCGGCTCCTGCATACGTATTACGCCCGGGCCGTAGCGCTTGTGAGGCAGCGAAAAACGCGCACTGTCGGCTCACCAAACCCTGTCTTCTCCGAGAGAAATCAGACGCGGAAACTTCGAATGCTGCTTCCCGCCAAACATGATCTGGCCAGACGCGCTTTGTAGTGCGCCTCTGGCGCCAACCGTACGCCCACGAACTCGCCCTTCAGTCTCCAAGCGTGGCTCTGAAACAAGGTCACGCAGCGATCTCGTCCTGAGGAGAAGAGTAATTGTGAGAGGCTACTGCTATTCACAAACACGTGCAGCTATGCGACTTAGGAGGTTAGACGATTAGCTATGCATGCCATTGCGCTGGCAGCATGAACATGTGGCCACAATCAGATGAACATGGGTTTGAGTTCACCGAGGTTAATAGCGCTGCTAAAGATTTCATATGACATATAGCAAGAAAAAGGCACCAGTATGGGTGTCATAACCTTCCTTTATTTCCAGTACTACCTTAACCGTTATGTCAGCAACAATATTTTTGAAAAAGATCTTAATCCTATTCACAGCACAGGCAGGATTTGTGACATCGCATATATATCAGAGCTAATAATACCTAAGAGTGTACTATACGGAAAACGGAAAATATGGCTATTTCACTGACAACATTATCTCGAACTTTGCCTGCAAGAGTCTATAATAATTCAGTGTATATGCATTAAGCGCCGAATTCTTGCTCTCTAACCAACTAAGCACCAACGCGCTTTGTCAATACGATAACTCATAGGCGGAGATATCGGCTCCTAAATCCTCCCTCCACATGCCAAACGTCGCCTCGAATCCACTTCTGTCCGCAATCCTTCAGCGCGGCTAACGCGTCTGCTTCGTCGGGAGTTCCGGTTTTTCCGGCCGATAATTTTATGAATGACTTTCGGGGGCATGCGCCTATCCCCTTACCTCCCATTATTTTCCCTATCAGGCTAATGCCCGTCATGATCGGAGCCGCGGGCAATGTTTTTTTAATTAAAGTCTCTACACGCAGCTAGTAAGAGTACGCAAATTTGGGCATGTGACATCAATTATCAGCGCTCCAAGCGGTGCGGAAACGATAGCCCGAAATGCTTAGACGGGTGCAAGGATGCGGACAGAAGTGGATTCGAGCGGCGTTTGGCATGTGAGGGGAGGTTTAGGAAGCGCGATTATCTCCGCCTAGGGTATTTTTTTATCGGACAAGCGTTG